AAAGAAGAGCATGATTTTTTGCTGCATCGCTTGAAAATAATAAAACACAATCCGACAAGGGTTTGAGATATTTCACACATTGAACAAGTAAAATTATTATTTAAAAGCAAATAATTGTTAAAAATACAGCAAAAAACAAAGGAATAAAGGGATTAAATTCGGTATAATATAACAAATAAAACATGGCCTTTCGGGCAAAATGAAAGTTTACGGACTGGTTGGTCAGACCTCGGAAGGTATATGGCCCTCAGCTGCGCTTCGGGCCATATACCTTCCTCAGTCTGACCAACCAGTCCGTAAACTTGCATATTGCCCTCAAGGCCATGTTTTATTTGTTAAATAATATATATGTATTGGTTCAGAAACAATGCGCAATATCATATTGGCTGAGGAACAGCGTGGCATGACGTCATTTAAGATAATATCATTTGAGGAACAATTTGATTTGACGTCATTCAATATTATATTGGTTTGATATGACGTTATTTCAGATAGGTTTATGACGGCACTCCTCCAGCTAGTGTTCATATTTGCTTTCTATGCACATTTTCTGGCATGAATGTAACTTCGGACCTTAGACTCTGTCGCTGTTGCGTTTAAACATTGTACTTCTGTACAGATCCGGATTCAAAATAGGAATACTTAAGTTAGTAAGTTACTCCAGGCAATGCAAATGTAGGCAATGTTTTAGTGAGCATATAAAGTAAAAATATTTTGATTAAGGAGAAGCTTGCCCGACATGGCTCGCTCCATGTTCACTAAATATTTTTTTAGTTAATGTCTTCTAGCTACACTTTATTACAAAGTTATAAAGAACAGTCCCATACAGCATTTTGCTTGTCACTGTGGCTTTCGCTGTGGGTCATTTATTAGAATATATACAGTATGCTGTTGTTTGTAAACAACGTAGATAGCTGTTCGCGTTTATACTAGCCAAATCTGGTTTTCTCTCAAATCGTTATCATTATTGGCTTTTTACATCGTTTCAGTCTTATTCATTGTGATTAAATAGCTTTACTTTAATATCCGTAAAATTGTTGATTTCAATACTTTACTTAATTAAGATAGTATCTGGCAGTAGATGGTTAAGATTTTCAAGGAGATACAAATAATTATTCTATGTCTTTGTTTGGTGATTTCTTCAAAAGATGCGGATATTCTACAACGCTCGAAAGGTATATTACGTTATTTCGCTCGTCATTTACTAGTATATAAAGAAACAATGATAGAAGTAAGTTTTACAAATCAAATCAAAATTTATTTATTGTCGGTATGTATACTGTATATAACATTTCACAAAACATAAGATATGTATAGCTTTTTTACAAATGTGTGAGCCATTGAAATCAATTTATGTAGCATGAAATATTGTAATTTTCACTGTCTTTTGCTATAATTGACTGTAACTTAGTAATTAATTATTGAATTTTGGTTAAATTGTCACAATTTTGTTATTTTTGTACGGATTTGACAAACAAGATTTGCTACAAAATAATTTAGACGTGACCTTGACTGTTAATGTCAAATTAATAAGATTCTCTTGTTTCTTCCTGTAACTGGCTATAACTATAGATTAACTTCAGTACATGTATCTTGGTAAGGGCCTTCATGAATATCAAACTCAAATTGACCTTGATTCATGTATGACCTTGATTTCAATGTCAAATTATTGAATTTTCACTTATTGTTGCTATAATTGGCATTAAGTTGGAAGTTAATAAATGGATTATCTTCTTACCTGAACAAAACAACCTTTAGGACAAGACCTACTAAAAGGTTGAACTGACATTGACCTTGAGCTTTGAATGACATTGAACGTCAAGGTCAAATTGTTGAATTTTTATAAATTGTCATTATTTTGTAATTATGTACGGATTTATTCTAATCAATTTATAACTGACCTTGACCTTTAAATGACCTTGGCCGTCATGGTGAGATGATTGAACTTTGTCATTTATTTATGGAAATGATTCATACTTGGACAAAACAAATGTGACTAGACAGACTTATTAAAATAAAAAAGATAAAAAATCTTTTATTTTTTTACTTTCCCTTTTAAAGATTAGTTTAAAACGTTTATTTGTTTGCGTTTAGGAAAAGTAAACAAAGTCGAGCGTTGCCCCCGCCCGGCGGTGGCTGCATGTTGTCTTTAAGGAACCTATCGCTATTGACTGAAAACTGCATCAAGTATCTTAATAGTAATATACTGATATTGTAGTGTTGTGATAATTACAAAGTAGTGAAAAAAGAAAAGCAAAATTACAAAGAGTTCATATAGGCTGCTCAATGTTGAAAGTGATATATATCTGGTTTCCGTCAATATTTGTTTAAAAACGTTTTATGTACATGTATATATTTGTTTTTATATAACTTTGCAGAAATAAATGAATTGTACAGTTTCCTAGTTAAAAATCCTTATCTTCCGTTTAAAAGAATGTTTTTATATATATATGAATCTATACTTTTAGATGCTCGAATCTTGGTTTTGGGAGCAGGAATGTCTGGACTCAGTACAGCAAAGGCGCTACATGACGCCGGATACCAACATATCCTGATACTTGAAGCAACCTCTCGGATTGGTGGAAGAATTAAACATGACCGCTTAGGCAACTACACGGTTGAAATGGGTGCAATGTGGATCTACGGAAAAGGATCTAATCCAATCTACGGGATGGCCGAAAAGCTGAATATATCATATACTGACAATTTCATTGATGATTGGACAGTGAGAGACGAGAACGGTGATGACGTCACTGAAACAGCAGACGCTGCTTACTCTAAGTTACAGGACGCTTTAACAAAGGCAAGTGAGTTAAATAAGAACGTTGAAGAAGACTTCACTGTATTAGCAGGGTTACGGAATTCAGTATGGATGCCAACAACTAATATCGATGATGTAATAGAAGCATACTCAATAGATTTTGAAACCGGGATGCCCCCATCAACATTATCCGGGAAAAATCTTCATTTAGACGACACGTTTGAGGATTTTGGAAGTTACGAAATGATGGCTGTTAAACATGAGTCCGGGTTTGTTGATATCATAAAAGGCTTATATGAAACATTTATGACAGAAGATGACCCGCGTCTATTACTCAATACCACTGTAAAGAAAATAGAACACGGACATGATTCGGTAACTGTTCATACTAAAGCAGGGGAATTGTTCAATGCTGATTTCGTTGTTGTCACATTTAGTTTAGGAGTTTTGCAGCATCGAGAAGTTGACTTTTCTCCACCATTACCACACACAAAGCAAATGGCCATTGACATGCTTGGTTTCTGCAAGTTTACCCATATATATGTACAATTTCCGCATTCATTTTGGGACGAAACAATGTACATTCTGCGTGCATCTAAAATACGAGGCCATTTTAGCTGCTGGCAGAATATGAATACGATTTACAAAGGATCAAACATACTTCAGCTTTCTCTGTTTGGAGATGACGCCAACTGGGTGGACCGGTCTAGCGACCACATGGTCATGCAGGAAGTGCTCCGGTATCTACAATTGCTTTACCCTAACACAACGATTCCCGAACCGTCAGGTTTTAAAGTATCTAGATGGAACACTGATCCGTTTACTAGAGGGGCATTCAGTTACTGGCCCACTGGTTTTACTACTGAGATAATGAAAGACTTTCAGGCACCGATAGGGCGGGTTTTCTTTGCTGGAGAACATCTAGATCCGTTGCATTATGGGTTCGTCCATGGGGCATATAGATCAGGTCAACAGACGGCTGGTAATATCATACATCGTATAGAAAATTCAAAGGACTGGCACCAACGTCATCGGAAAGATCAAAAGCATGTACCTTATGATACATTCGCTTTCTCCTCCCGGATTTAGATTGCTTATTTCTAATGCTGTCATGTTTTGTCCGATAAACTACAAAAATGTAACATTCAAGAGAACATTTGTGACTTTTAATCATGTTAGAAACATGGACTAAATGACATGTGAAAAGCCAGACATATGTAGTCACAAGGAAGATTGTTGTTTTTTTTGTATTTATTCAGACGAAAATTATATAAAAGTAATGCATCAGTTCCGGAACGTGTATATATCTAGTTTTCTAAGGAGAATAAATATGATTTATAGATTTATAGGAAACAGCGGAAAATACCAGAAATGATCTAAACAATATTATATTATATATAGGAGTTTAGGAGTTCTGCAGCATCGAGAAGTCGACTTCTCTACATCATTATCACACACAATGCAAATATATAAATATTTTATATATATTCTACTATTTTACAATGTTTATATCATACGGTACGGGTATAATACCTCCGAAAACCTGACAGCAACATGATAAGAAAGATGAAAGACAAGTATGTAATGTAGATAAAGAACAAAAATATTAGAATATACGGAAATCATGTAAACAGTCGGATAATTTTTCTATTTTCTTATATTGTTTTGCAAAGTTTATGTCACAAATTTGTACTATATATTTAATAGAGAAAAACTTTCTTGTTGTCGTTTTATTTTATTTTGAACAATTTTTACACAAATGTATATAACTCTGCAACGTTCCACATACGTATATATGTGTTAACAATAACGTTCACTGATTAGTTTTCATCCCGCCCGAAATTTAAGCATGGAAACCGTCTGTTTCAATGGCTTATGTGCTTCAGTCCGTCCATAATCTTAGTACATAAACCGTTGGTTTAAATGGTGTTTTACTGGTGTCAAAATGCCGCATTAAGATGAATGAAAAAACCCAGAACTCCAAAATGTTGGTATGCCCGGCCGGAGTTACAATATTGGTTGTTCTGATTTTTGGATAACTCAGAATGTTACAAATTTTTATAATTTTAAATTTAATGATTAAGCTAGACTTACCTTAGTAGAAGTAAGGCGAAGGTTGATCATAATTTCATCCGACACAAAACTCCCTAAGGGCTCACACAGCTACCAGCAGCCAAGGTATTCATTTTTTAGAGAAAGTAACGTGTATTTATTTTGGAGCAATTTTTATCGGGTGGAAGCGGGCGGGCGTGTGAGCCCTTAGGGAGTTTTGTGTCGGATGAATATGAAATAAAATCACGATTGCATGATCAGTCTTTACAAGTATGGAATAGTGATGTTTTCAATTCTGCTAAGTGTTTAAATTATAGAATATATAAAACTCAATTTAAATTAGAACATTATTTACTATGTTTACCAAGAAATTTAGCATTTACTCTTTATAAATTTAGATGTCTCAATTCTGATATTCCTTTAGAGAAATGTCGCTATTTTGGTACTGAAAGAGAAAATAGAACATGCTCACTTGTAACCAGCAAGAAATAGGTGATGAATTTCACTATATTTTTAAATGTACTTATTTTAATCATGAAAGACACAAGTCTATCAGTAATTATTATTCAAGGTTTCCTGGTATTTTTAATTTTCAGGCTCTAATGTGTAGCGACAACAGAAATACTTTATTTAATCTAGCCATTTTTGTTAAAGCAATGATGCTGAAATTTCACTGCGTCATTTTCCTTATTTACCTTTTGCTCTTTTGTTAAAAGCGGTCTAGTAAATCACTTCACCGTAAAAAATAACGCTGAATTGGAGGGGGGGGGGGGGGGGGGGGGGGGGGGGGGGGGGGGGGGGGGGGGGGGGCTTATGACCACTTTGAATATGAAAAAGGGTCGGTAGTATACATTTTAAAGTATATTTCATTAAATTAGCGCATATGGCTGTAAGGACCCTCATTACATATATTCCAGATTATTTGTGAGAAAAACGAACTGGCTACTGTTCTGGCGTTAAAGTTTGTGTTTCGCCGATATAAATGAGTACAATAACGCACATTTGGCCTTTCTTTATGGTTTGCTTTTCGGTATACCTAACATATTTGCTTTTAGTTTTCGACATTTATTTCCACAACTAAGTCTGATTTTGCACAATCCTGCATTATTTTAACAATTCTACATTATGGGATATATACGACGATTGGTGCATATGCGTGTGTTCCGTTTTTATGATTAGAAAACTTTTTATCTTCCTCAATATTTGTATATATTATTAATATGTTATGTATTCATATATCAAAACTAGAACTGCCACTGTCATGGCGTGAATACCCCCGCATACCACTTTGTCAGAAGCTTTTTTTAAGTCAAGGCCCCTGTGACCTTGAACTTTGACCAAGTGACCTCAAAATCAATAGGGGTCATCTACTAATCACGACTAACCTCCATGCCAAATATGAAGACTGTGGGTCAAAGGAATCTCAAGTTATTGGGCGGACAAGCTTTTTAAAGTCAAGGCCCCTGTGACCTTGACCTTTGACCCAGTGACCCCAAAATCAATAGGGGTCATCTACTAATCATGACTAACCTCCATGCCAAATATGAAGACTGTGGGTCAAAGGAATCTTAAGTTATTGGGCGGACAAGCTTTTTTTTAGTCAAGGCCCCTGTGACCTTGACCTTTAACCCAGTGACTTCAAAATTCCATAGGGGTCATAAACTTATCATAAATAACCTCCATGCCAAATATGAAGACTCTGGGCCAAAGGAATCTCAAGTAATTGGGCAGACAAGCTTTTTAAAGTCAAGGCCCCTGTGACCTTGACCGTTGACCAATTGACCCCAAAATCAATAGGGGTCATCTACTAATCACGACTAACCTCCATGCCAAATATGAAGACAGTGGGTCAAAGGAATCATAAGTTATTGGGCGGACAAGGTTTTTTTAGTCAAGGCCCCTGTGACCTTGACCTTTAACCCAGTGACCTCAAAATCAATAGGAGTCATCTACTAATCATGACTAACCTCCATGCCAAATATGAAGACGGTGGGTCAAAGGAATCTCAAGTTATTGGGTGGACAAGCTTTTTTTTAGTCAAGGCCCTTGTGACCTTGACCTTTGACCCAGTGACCCCAAAATCAATAAGGGTCATCTACTAATCATGACTAACCTCCATGTCAAATATGAAGACTGTGGGTCAAAGGAATCTCAAGTTATTGGGCGGACAATGTTTTTTTAGTTAAGGCCCCTGTGACCTTGACCTTTAACCCAATGACCTTAAAATCAATAGGGGCCATCTACTTATCATGACTAACCTCCATGCCAAATATGAAGACTCTGGGCCAAAGGAATCTCAAGTTATTGGGCGGACAAGCTTTTTAAAGTCAAGGCCCCTGTGACCTTGACCTTTGACCCAGTGACCCCAAAATCAATAGGGGTCATTTACTAATCATGACTAACCTCCATGCCAAATATGAAGACTGTGGGCCAAAGGAATCTCAAGTTATAGGGCGGACAAGGAAAACCGACGGACGGGGAGACGTCCGGACGTCCGGGTGGCCGGACGGACAAGCTGATTCCAGTATACCCCCTTACAACTTTGATGTGCGGGGGTATAATAATGATCTTACCTTAGCCTACTCGACAAGTTCTGTTTTCCTGATAAACTTTTAGATGTTATGCCCAGGAACTATGCGATGGCGGAACTGCGATCTGGTGAATTAAAAGCGGCTTATTGTCGTGATCCGGCGGGTAAACTACAAAAAAAACACAATTACAGTGTACCTTAACATTATAAGTTATGATGTAAATGTTAAAAAAGTATTATAAAATTTTCCTCGTGTACATCTTTATTTTGAATCCGGCTATCATGTATGAGTGTATTGCCAATAAATACATTGAAAATACAGAAATAGGGGACGGCATAAAGTTTTCATAGAAATGTGATATACATTTTAATTACAATGTACTTCGCTTTTCAAGAGTTTTCGCATAAAATATCCTGAAACACAAATGGAAGTTTATTAAGGCTTAAAGTTACATTTAATAAATTTCATAAAAACAGAAATAGCGACATTTCATTAATAAATTGGGTTTTATATCGACTCCAGGTCTTATTTTGGTGTCCAGACAAAAAAATCGGAAGTACAATAATTGTTTGCATGAGAAACTCCGCCTTCAGATCATCCGTACATCACTATTAAATTAAGAAACATGACTATAAGTAGCAGTCCTAATTTAACGGTAAATTTCCGCATTGTAACGGATGTTTTCATACAAATTTAATCTTTTTTATGAGATGATTACTTTTTACTGAACCTCAGGCCTAGTGCACCGTTAAGTTAAACGGTTAAAATGCGTTTGCAAAAGAAAATCTCATATTTGTTGTGTTCCGGATAGCAGCTACAACACTGTGACGTAGCGCATACACAAGCTGATTATAATCTTCATTTGCATGTTAAAATTCGTATACGAACTTTAGTGTTACCGTGGGGTTTTCCGTTTAAAATCCTTATTTATGAACAATATTTTTTTAGATTTACAACAAGACTGTTAAAAAGGTTAATGAATCTGTAGAATGCTTGGTTTTTAGGCCGACGGCAAAAGTATTAATACATATTTATTTAATATGTAGCTTTAATATAAATGTTAGTAGTGGTGCGAAGATTAACTTGAAAGGAGTTTTAATCTAATTTTTAAAATGTTATCATTTATAATTTAAAGCAAACTGTCATGTTTTGTTTGTTGTTTTCTGAAAATTGTAGACCTCTAAGTTTTGGAATCCAAATATAACACATAACGTATTATCAGGCAGAAATATGCTGATTTGCATAAATATATTATATACGAGTACATGACTTGTATATAAATATATATAATACAGTATAATGTATTTCGAATACTCGTTTACTACATGTAATAATTGTAATTTTTACATACATAGTTTTCTCGCAGATTTAATGAGATGTTACCTCACAAACTCATGCCTGTAATTACTGCAAAAAAAGACATACCGGTAATAAGGCAGTTCCGGCGTTCCATAGTCACTGGTATATACATGCATAATTATATGTTGATAGTAACTTTTGAACTACATGTGTATTTATAATACGGTTGATAGCGTGATATTACCCACCAGTGAATTCCTTTTCGTATGCAATAATTATCGTGTGGAAAAAAATGTTTTTGGATTTAAGTGCAAAGTTGCATGCAAAAGCGTTTATTAAAATGAAATTATTTCATATACGTACTGTAGTAGACTTTACTTGCAAGGTTTAAGCTACGTACACCTTTTAACGAGTTCCATCTAAATAAAAAATATGTTAAAATCTAACACATTTTTTAGGGTTATATTGGGGAATAAATCGCTAAAACGGTCTTTCAGGTAAGTTTATTTCTTTCACCTGACCTAGTTATCATTACGTGTAAACAATGGTAATATAATAAATCACTGTAGTGGAGGGGATACCCTGACTTCAACTGATTTTACTTCGCAACTTGCTATTGACTAAATGAATAGGTTAAATGCTTGTTATAACCATCATTTTTGTTTATTTTGCTAAATATTTTTGAGAGTTACATGACATCGTTTACAGTTGCAGCTCTTACTGTTTTTCTACAAAATGGAGCTACACACACGGACCCGGGGAAATCCCTCTAAGGGGCATAACTATTGGTAAACTTTTACAAACCCAGACAGAAAAGACACCTGATAGAGAAGCTGTTGTTTTCCCGACGACAGGAGTCAGGAAAACATTCTTTCAATTATTAGAAGAGGTAACTGTTTTATTTTGTTTAAAAATTCGAGTTTCTTTTTACGATGGACGCGCACTCATGAATGTGCTATGTAACTAGATGGTGAAAAAAAATATATTATACATTATTTATTGTATATATATTATATGAATATGACACCTTTGCAAATCGTTATCATATCATGTTCCTTTTGATTGGTACGTTACTGTCTCAAGTTAGGAAGTTATACCCAGCATTCCTGTCAAATCTAAAAATACCAGCTAGCACTAAGAAATAGTCGAGTTACATATAATTAAGTTAGATTTTATCCATGCATGTGTATTTGCAGGCCGATCGTTTTGCAGCTGGGCTTTTAGAGCTTGGTCTTAAAAAGGGAGATCGTGTTGGAATCTGGGGTCCGAACTCGCCGGAATGGGTCATAACACAGTATGCAACGGCAAGAGCTGGCTTGATTTTAGTAAGTGTAAGACTTTACATTTATATGACTTTTTCTGAGTTTTGGTAAAACTGTATTCGCGTACACTTCGCGAATACAGTTTTACCCAAACTCAGAAATCGTTAATATCAACCCACATCATTCACTTTCGATTACACCCTATACAAGGCAGTTCTAGGAATTATTTGCAATATGTTAGACTACAATGAAGAAGCTTTTACAACTTGATTGAAATTGCATATTGCATATTTGTAGCCAAAAATAATGGCTACATACATTTCCACTAAAGTATGAGTGCTGAAACTGAAAATTCAAAATTTTTCTAACATTCAAGTAAGATAACTTTGTCCAAAATCATTGAACCACGACCAAATTCAAACTTGAACTGCTTATTCCTAAGATGTATCTTTATGTCAAATTTGAGTTGAATGTGTACAACTATTGGGGAGATAATGAATGGAAACTTAAAAATTCTGATTTTTTTTCAAAGTTCAAGAGGGATAACTCTGTCAGCTTTTATCAAACCATGACATTTCTTTGACGTATCCATATGTCAAATTTGAGTTGAATGAGTAATACCCTAAAGGAGATAATGAACGGAAACTGAAAATTTCATATTATTTTCAAAGTGAAAGGGACATATCTCTGCCAAAAATCATTGAACCATGACCAATTGTAACTTGGCCTGAGCATTCTTTTAACGTATCCATATGTCAAATTTGAGTTGAATGTGTGATACCGTTGGGGAGATAATGAACCGAAACTGAAAATTTCATATTATTTTCAAAGTAAAAGGGGCATAACTCTGCCAAAATCATCGAACCATGACCAAATTAGAAATTGACCTGTATTTTCTCATGACATATCCATATGTCAAGTTTGAGTTGAATGTGTAATACCGTTTGGGAGATAATGAACGGAAACTGAAAATTTCATATTATTTTCAAAGTAAAAGGGGCATAACTCTGCCAAAAATTATCGAACCCTGACCAAATTCAAACTTGACCTGAATTTTCTCATGACATATCCATATGTCAAGTTTGAGTTGAATGTGTAATACCATTGGGGAGATAATGAACGGAAACTGAAAATTTCATATTATTTTCAAAGTAAAAGGGCCATTATATGCCGGGGGCATAAAACTATATTTTTGAGCTTATTAATTAATACAATTTCTTTATTTGATGAAAGTTCTTCTCTTACTGATCAAGATCATTTAAATTCTTATTGATTCCACTATAATTCAGGGCACATGTTTTGCGTCTATTTAATACATTGATTTTTGTTTACCACTGGCTTTGACTACAATATATTATTTAAAACATATTGAAAATTCATTTTTATGACCCCAAAGAGCGGTCGTTTGTCTGATGTTAAAAATGCATATGTACCTGTTTAACGCACTTTGGGGTCGAAATTGGACCCCAAAAGGCTGCCTAAGAGTGCATTCTAACTTATATCTGCTCAAAACCGGAAATTTACACAAGGATTGTTAGAACAGTATCATTGTTTTGAACACACATCTAAGGTATGATTCTCCTTTTCTTTTCTAGGTGAATATCAACCCTTTATACCGAAGTTTTGAACTGGAGTATGCTTTACAGCTGGTAGGTTGTAATTTGCTATACAAGAGTCGTATCTGGTCCAGTGTCTGATGAACTGTTAAAGAAGTACACCGAACGTTTTATGTTTCACTTTTGGTGCTTTGATCACATTTTGATATAATTGGATGTATGACCTTTAAATCATTTTTGAAAATAGAAAAGTACATAGACAGCTTTTCAGATTAAAGCATGGCATAATATAGAATATAAACCTGTCTATTTTTAGGAGAGAAGAGTTGTGCTATATAGTATAGCATTTGATTAGCTGTTAAGAATGTTTTCATACGTCTTCATTATACAATAAAAACCCTCAATTAAGACCACCATCGGGACTGGACCAAAGTGGTTTTAATTGTGGGGTGGCCTTAATTGTGAATATTCTTATCAATGCTTACACACTTTTTGACCAGGGTCTATTTTAGTCATTTGTATGAACAAACAATATATATACCTGAAAAAACAACATAAAACTTTGTTATAAATAAATACCTGATGGGAAGAAAAAAATTTAATATCAAATTCCATTTTGACTGATTTCAATATCAATTTCAATATTAATTATTATATGATCAAATACAAAATAAGTTCAGCATGTAATCAATGTACTGAAAGCAAGATTAAACCACTCTAAAATTTACTTTCTCACCTTATTACATGATATAAGGTGTTTTTGACACCTTTTGAAATTAGGTGTCATGCATTAGAGCATTCAAGCTGATAATAACAACAAATTCAAGATCTAGGTAGGCGTGGACTTTAAATCAGTGGTCTCAATAGTGGGGTCAAGTAAAGAACAAAACAAAGAATTGGGACTGAATCTAGTGGTCTTAAAAGTGGATAAGCGAGGTGGTCTTAATTCTGGATCATGTAACCATTGACATAAAGAACCGAAAATTCCGTACTTTTAAAAAATGGTCTCAATAGCGGGGTGGTCTTAATTCCGGGGTGGTCTTAAGTAGGGATTCTATTTTGAAACATCGCAGCATAGCTCGTGAAACTATACAAATAAATACCTGAATTTCTGACACTTGGTGTATATGAGATTGCATGTGGGTTGTTTTTGTTGTATCACTTATCATAGGTTAAAGTCAGAAAACATCGGTAAATACGTATTTACAAACCGGTTATTTCGATTATAGAACGGTGAACCTCGGTTATTTGGCAACATCGGTAAAGATAAACATCGGTAAAGCTAGGTAACTGGTTAACGAACTACATGGGTAAACTTGTTATTTCAGGTTGATTGTAAAGCAGTAGTGTGTGCGACAGAGTTCAAGGACCAGCTTTATTATGAGATTATGTTTCAACTTGTACCGGAACTGGCTTCTTGTAAACCACATACTCTTCGCAGTCATATGTAAGATATTGTTTTACTCACTAACTGATATCTAATTAGAATTAGATTAAGACAGAGAAATAACTCCTGTACACTTAGCTATAGAAATATATTATTTTGATTGCTACAATTGATTCATACATGTATGTAGTTATATCTTATTATAACCGTCAATTTCATTCTTGTCAATAAATCAACAGAAAAAATGTTCTTGCACAGATTTTATTATTAAATCATTATCGACTAAATATAGAGTAGATGTAACATTAATTTTACATGTACATTGACTGATCATTCTCATTAATCTGACTTAATGTTATAATTATGTCTCTACTTCTATCTTTTATTTATTATGCTCGAATGCCAAAATTAATAATGAAATTCCTGTCAGTACAGCAAAACAACTTTTTTAGTATCAGGGAACTTGGTTTTGTATGAATTTATAATCTGGAAATACGATCTGTCTTGTGATATTTCAAATCAATTTTATACCATCATTAGATTGATCCAACTATTCTCTTTCTTATTTCCTTTTAGACTACCAGGTCTGAAGTACATTATAATGATGGGTGAAGATGACTACCCGTAAGTTATTGCTTAACTTTTAAAAAATAAAATTAAAAGAAAATTTAATATACATGTAGCCAATATCCAATTATAAATCAATATGACATTAGGAAGACATGTCGTGGTAAATGGTTCCTTAATCAAAAGTTGAATTCACACCAGAAATGTTTGTTTAATAAGTCGGTGAAAAGTTCCTTCACAAGAAGGTTTCTTACGGTCACACACACAAAATTTTCACGCTCGAATGTTTCAGCGTTTGCTGTTGTAGTACAATGAACTAATATTCAAAATGTATGATCGACATTCGTGTAAAAACGTTTGAGTTACGCTCAAAGGACGTTGTATTTTGTCCGCAAATATTGCAAGTTGATTTGTACCAGGGTTCATTAGGATTCGTTGTACAAAACAACGTTACAGAATAATAATATCTGTCATATTTTGCGGTTCGGATCGGAATATTCGTCCCGAGGTGACCCGCCCATTGGGCGGTAACGAGGCTTGCCGAGTTACCGCCCATTGGCGGGTGACCGAGGGACGGATATTCCGATCCGAACCGCAAACATATGTCAGATATTTTTTCTTGCATATTCTACCATATTCCATTATATTTTAAATTCTTTATCTTTATTTTCAATGAAAATTTATATCATTACAACCGTAACTACTTTCATTCAACAGCGTTACGCGTATGAATTACAAAATCATTCATAACGGTAAAATGACGTCATCTTTATCGTGCCATTGTACAGCACGACTCATCTGGAACCCCCCATGCCAGATGAAATTTCCGGCATGGGTAAAACTAACGGAAACGCCAGTCTGATATGCAAGAAAGCTTAAGAATGTTTGCAACATTCATAGACCGTTGGGTAACAAACGATGAAAACCACCAGCGTCTTATAGTCGATATTAGACAACGAAGCCTAACATGGTAAACTCTATCAAACTTAAGTAAGGTTTTAAGACACTGACAACGGACCAACACCAACGTTTATTTCCAAGATTTAGTTGTCAACATTTTCAACAAACATTCACAAGCGTTCATCAACAAACATCAACTTTCAACGTTTAAAAGGGAGCTTGACTTGAACTTTTGCCAAACCGTCGGTAAACGCCTGTCCAAATGTCCTAGTGTGAATCCAGCTTAAAGAGGTATTTTACATAATCGCAAAACTGTAAAATTTATGAGAGAAAATTCGAATGTTAAAAATTTGTTAGTTTTTGATATGTTTGATAATATTTTAAACATTTTTTTTTCTCATAGGGGAACTTTGAAGTTTTCTGACGTCATGGCTGCCGGAAGTGACTCGAGCGTTCGGCAGATTGTTGACATACAGGACAGCCTTCAGTTTGATGAACCTATAAATATCCAATTTACATCGGTACGTCTTCTCTGTTATTAGTTAACAAAAAATAGGACTTTTAAAATCGCCCATTTTCAGTGGATTCCGGTTTTCTGAGTGCCCGGTTTTCAGAGTTTTTACTGTTTGCACACGTATGTAAATAGTAGATGTAAATAGTTCTTTATAAGAAAGATTACGCTGTTTCATTGTAATACACTTGGGTATAAGGGAGTACATTGAGATTGTATTACAATTACAAGAATAGATCCTACATCCGCAACAACACTGACACAACAACACTGACACTTTTAATATTAGGTACATGTATATAGCTACTCATTCATTTCAGGGCACGACGGGGTTTCCGAAAGGTGCAACATTATCACACCATAATATTGTAAATAACAGTTATTTTACCGGACTGCGGTTGGATTTCCATAACAGGGTATGCCTTAATTGAATTTAAAGGGTATATTAGTATCAATTGTTCAACTTCCACAAAGATTGATATTTTTTCCCGTTATTATTTGCTTAAAAGATATTATCTCTGTGTAACAAACAAAATATACATTATAAAAATATACATTATAAATATTTTGTCCATGTCGATAAACTCTTCCAAAATCTCTTCAAATTTACTACAGAAATTATTGATTGCTCTGATGCACAAATACGTTGAATGTTAGTAAAGTCGTAAAAGGCACACATACCACTAATATAACTGTAGTGCAATTACTGTTGTACTTTAATGTTTATATCGTAGATTAACAATTATATTGTTGTGATTGTCTCAAATTTCTTGCAAGACAAACTTCTTACAATGATGTAAATAAATGTTCAATAATTTTAGCCGGCTAGAATCTGCTGTCCTGTGCCGTTATATCACTGTTTTGGGATGGTTTTAGCATGTTTACAAATACCAAATCACGGGGCTACATGTGTGTTTCCAGCTCCAGGCTTCGACCCAGCCTCTGCTTTGACAGCTGTGGCGAAAGAAAAGTAAGGCAATGTAACTAACTGACGGACAGTTGTTCATATTTTTGGTTATGAAATGGTATAATCATTACCGTTCTTTTATAAAATTAAAATGTGAGGCCCTAAAACATATATATATGTATTATAATAAATCCAAATTATGCATTTTAGCAATACCGTTTCCATTTTCGTTTAGTTACGTGTTGTTATTTTTAGAGGAGAAAAGTCATGTTTCAGTTTTAGCTGTCTGTTTCAAAGAAAAAGTCAAGCTACTATTATTTGTTCAAAATCGTTAAAATCTGTTCAAAACATGTATTTATTCCTTTTGTTTAAGATGTACAGCATTATATGGAGTACCAACAATGTTTATTGACATGTTAAACTACCCTGAATTCGACAAGTTTGATCTGTCAACCCTGTACACTGGTATAATGGCGGGGTCACCATGTCCTATAGAAACAATGAAGCAGGTCATTGCTAAAATGCACATGTACGAGGTCACGGTATGTCTTCATTTAATGTTTTATATTACATTAATAGTATAATCTCGTCTTACATGTATGTCTTTGAATATACAAATATAAGAATGTTTTAATAATATAATAGTATTCTAGTTTGAACTAGATCAGTATTATACATTACCACGCTACTTCTTCTGACCTGTTAGATAAAGGTTACATGTTTAGAGCTCTAATATAGCTTACTTTTGATAGGTTTAAAGAATATACATGTATACACAATAATTTTCTGATCATTTTCTGATTTAAAAGTAATGTTTGTAAACATAAACACCAAATCTCATTCAAATGATATCTTATAACTGACGCTCCACAAACTTTCGCAAGTAGCATACATGTTGAGCTGATTTAAATGAGATTGCTCAACCGCCAAGAAATTGTCTGGTATTTTACATGCCCGTGTGAATATATTTGACAAAAATCAGGCTTTAAATGGTAATTTTCTATAATGGTCTTGTCAATTAGAACATTCAGGAGAAATTGAAATAATAAAACTGAGCAGCAAAACGTATAATTCACTCAGTCTGCTGGTTCGTTATTATTAACTGTTAAAATAGCTTATTAACATTGATTATATTTTAAAATGATGCCAGTAGCATTGCTTATGTCAAGAACATTTATTTATTTTATGTTGCTAATCATCTAGTAATGGCGTTTTACAACTTTCAGGTATGTTACGGCACGACAGAAAATAGTCCCGTGACGTTCCAAAGCAAGAGAAACGATTCAGTAGACAAGCGAGTATCAACTGTTGGTACAGCACATCCACATGTAGAGGTCAATTCTCACTATATTATCCTTTCAATGTTTTTAGTTCAAAAACTGTTATTAAAAGTTACATCAGTATATTACTGTCGCTTGCGTTTAACGAGATCGGACTTAACTCCTTTCGGACTTTCATTTATCACTGATATAAGACTTGTCATTGTCCACGAAATATGCTTATTATATCCCGCCAATATCCAATAACAGATCTCAGTTGTCACGGAACAACTTCTCTACTTATTTTGCAAGAATCATGAATATTGTAGTCAGCCACGTTTGATCATTTCGTATTTTCACTAACCGAAACTGATGTTTTGTTATTGTGATAGGAATACGTCTTCATATGTTTTAACGTCTCCCCCTGATTGACAAATTCTGACATTTATTGACTAATATTATAACTGACTACTCTTGATCATCATCGAAACATCACATTTATGGCTTTTATACACTCCATTATCATTTGTCTTAACCCGCCTTTTTATATGCCCGAAAAAATTTCGGGCATAATATGTTATACCCCCTGGCGTCCGTTAGCAATTTGGTTTCCGGAGCATAACTTAAGTTCCATTTGGCCCACAATATTCAAACTTCATAGGATGATTGTCCATATTGAGAAGAAGAACCCTATTGATTTTGAGGTCACAAGGTCAAAGTCACTATTACCTTTAAACTGAAAACAGTTTCTGGAGCATAACGTAAGTTCCATTCGGCCCACAGTGTTCAAACTTCATAGGATGATTGTCCATATTGGGTTGAAGACCCCTATTGATTTTGGGGTCACAAGGTCAAAGGTCATGGTCACTATTAACTTAAAATTGAAAACAGTTTCTGGAGCATAACTTAAGTTCCATTTGGCTCACAGTGTTTAAGCTTTACTGGATGATTGTCCATATTGGGTAAAAGACCCCTATAGGTTTTGGGGTCATGAGGTCAAAGGTCAAGGTCACTATTAACTTAAAACTGAAAACAGTTTCCGGAGCATAACTCAAGTTCCATTTAGCCCATAATATTCAAACTTTATAGAATGATTGTCCATATTGGGTAGAAGACCCCTATAGATTTTGGGGTAACAAGGTCAAAGGTCAAGGTCACTATTACTTTAAAACTAAAAACAGTTTCTGGAACATAACTTAAGTTCCATTTGGCCCACACTGGCGACAGTGTTCAAACTTCATAGGAGGATGGCTATTTGAAGAAGGTAATACTTTATTTAATTCCCATGTCTTACAAATGCTTCATCCTTACTTAAAAAAAACAACACTTTCGGGCATATAATGCTACGCCTAGCGGTGCTCCTGGTACAAATCGTAAATCGCTGCAGTCTTGTCGTCCATTCTCTTTGCTGTTGTTGTTGCCGAGGCCGTTGCGTTGCGTTGTAACACCTTTCGACATGTTCTGTATAATAAGACACTAAATATTATATCAGGCAAAAGTTGTTGATGAAGACGGTAAAATAGTGCCTGTGGGAACAGTTGGCGAGTTGTGCACGAGGGGATACACGACAATGCTCGGGTACTGGGGAGATGAGGATAAAACACGTGAAGTTTGTTTACCTGATAGATGGTATCTTACAGGGTAAGTTTGTTTACCTGATAAATGGTATCTTACAGGGTAAGTTTGTTTACTTGGTAGATGGTATCTTACAGGGAAGGTTTGTTTACCTGATAGATGGTGTCTTACAGGGTTAGTCTGTTTACCTGATCGTTGGTATCTTATAGGGTAAATTTGTCTATCTGATAGATGGTATCTTACAGGGTAAGTTTGTTTACCTGATAATTGGTATCTTCCAGGGTAAGTTTGTTTACCTGATAGATGATATTTTACAGAATAAATTTGTCTACCTGATAGATTGTTTCTTACAGGGTAAGTTTGTTTACCTGTTAGATGGTATCTTACAGGGTATGTTTGTTCACTTGATAGTAGTATCTTACAGGGTTTGATTGTTTACCTGATAGATGATATTTTACAGGGTAACTTTGTTAACCAGATAGTTGGTATCTTACAGGGTAGTTTACCTGATAGATGGTATCTTACAGTGTAAGTTTGTTTACTTGATAGATGGTTTCTGCCAAGGTTAGTTCCTTTACCTGATAAATGGTATCATACTTACAGGGTAAATTTGTTTACCAGATAGTTGGTATCTTACAGGGTTGTTTACCTGATAGGTGATATTTTACAGGGTAAGTTTGTTTTCAGATAGATGGTATCTTACAGGGTATGTTTGTTTACCTGATAGATGGTATCTTACAGGGCAGGTTTGTTTACTTGATAGATGATATCTTACAGTGCAGGTTTGTTTACCTGATAGATGGTATCTTACAGGGCAGGTTTGTTTACTTGATAGATGGTATCTTACAGGGCAAATTTGTTTACCTGATAGATGGTATCTTACAGGGTAAATTTGTTTACCTGATAGATGGTATCTTACAGGATAAGTTTGTTTACCTTATAGATAGTGTCTTACAGGATAAGTTTGTTTACCTGATAGATGGTATCTTACAAGGTAAGTTTGTTTACCTGATAGATGGCATCTTAGAGGATAAATTTGTTTACCTGATAGATGGTATCTTACAGGGTAAGTTTGTTTACCTGATAGATGGTATCTTACAGGGTAAGTTTGTTTACCTGATAGATGGTATCTTACAGGGCAGGTTTGTTTACTTGATAAATGATATCTTACAGGGCAGGTTTTTTTACTTGATAGATGGTATCTTACAGGGCAGGTTTGTTTACCTGATAGATGGTATCTTACAGGGCAGGTTTGTTTACCTGATAGATGATATCTTACAGGGTAAGTTTGTTTACTTGATAGATTGTATCTTACAGGGTAGTTTACCTGATAGATGGTATTTTAGATGGTATGTTTGTTTACCTGATATATGATATCTTACAGGGTAAGTCGTACACATCATGGGTCACGTTCACTAGCAATTTATATACTCTTTGAAACTCGCTTTCCTACAGCTGTATTTTGCAAAAAAAACCTGAAATGTTGCTACTGTTAACATGGCTGATATTATTTTTACCTTTTTAGGGACACTGCTATAATGGATAAAGATGGCTTTGTACAAATATCAGGCCGTATTAAGGACATGATAATTAGAGGTGGAGAAAATATTTACCCGTTAGAGATAGAACAAGTTTTGTATACTCACCCTAAGATTAAAGACGTTCAGGTAAAATGTTACTGTATTGTTGTCAGAAATTTTAATTGCTCATTATAACTGGTTTGTGGGTTTTATTTTAATGCACGTTTGTCACGTAATTTTAATTTGATAACCGTGACATTTATACATTTGTATTACATATGAACATGTATATGTTTGCTGTTAATTTATTGATATTTTTATATCTTTTCTTAAATAAAGGAATTCTGAGGTATTAATCTTAAAAATAATACTTTTGACAAGTTATATAAGCAAACAACTGTGTATATTGGGCAATTTAGTTGGTCTATTTTATATCTTCATAACATAATTATGTTGCATTTTCTTTCTTGGTTGATGAAAATAATTCATAAGTTTGCATTGAACATGCAAAATGATAATATAAGTGTCATAAATGAGATTAGAAACTTGTTATTCAGACCTTGTAAAATAATGTCATACAAGCCATATGATGTCTTAATAAATGTTTCTTTAATGAGTAAGTGTACTTTTCTGAAGTTTAATCTTGATATAAGTTTGCCTTAGATTGATAACAATTCCCTTATTTTTTGTTGACCAGATGAAACCACTTTATTGTAATTATCCATATAATATTTAAGTAGAAATAGAGAATAATTGTACAGCAAAATATAATAAAATCTTTATGATGCATAAATGCTTAAGCTAGTGTTATATTGAATGTTTTAGGTTGTAGGGGTACCAGACAAGCGTCTCGGGGAACAGATATGTGCCTGGGTAGAGTTAAAAGATGGTGAAACAGCCACAGAGGAGGAAATCAGGCAGTTTTGTAAAGAAAAGGTTAACATATTGTCATATATATATCTTTATATTTTCTAACGTAGATAGATCTACACATTTTGAACTATTGACATCTCTGGGGGTTTTTTTTGTGTTTATGGAATGTTAAAGGGATAGTTGAGAGATGACATGATGAGTTAGCATGAGGTTTGAAATAGGTGCTATGAAAAGCTACGCAAACTGTCTCTATTATAAGTACGCTTCACAGCCCGTTTGTATAATAAGCAAGAATGAAGCTAGTGTGGGGTGATATGAATAGCTACGCAATACGTCTTTATGTGCCAACATAACGATTATGTGGGGTGGTATACAAGGCTATGCCATGTCTTTATGTTGTGTCAGGAAGGCGCTAATATTATTTGTCATATATTATTTGACAATAAGTTGGAATAGTGTGAGGCGATATACTGAGTTAGCTTATTTTTTGTTTCAGATTGCAAAGTTTAAAGTTCCAAAGTACGTACAGTTTGTTACAGAGTATCCACTTACGGTGACAGGAAAAGTTCAAAAATTTAAAATTAGGGAAGAGGCTACTATATCACTTGGGCTGGAACATGTTTTAAGATAAATTTGAGATCGAGTTACGTTACGTTGTGAAGTAACGTAAATTATGCTGTACCATGCAAGTTCAGTAAACTGATATACAGCGTTGGTTAAACGTAGATATATGTTATTCTATATATTCATGGACAGATGCTACATTTTTCTTTCGTGAATTGTCATTCGTTTTTATTTCTATTATTTTTAGCTCACCTGTCACAAAGTGACAGGGTGAGCTTTTGTGATCGCTTTTCGTCCGGCGTCCGTCCGTCCGTAAACTTATACATAAAATGACATCTCCTCATAAACCACTGAGCCAATTTCATCCAAACTTCACAGGAATGTTCCTGTGGTGGTCACCTTTTAAAATTGTTCAAAGAATTTAATTCCATGCAGAACTCTGGTTGCCATGGCAACCGAAAGAAAAAACTTTAAATATCTTCTTTTAAAAAACCATAAGAGCTATGGCTAAGATATTTGGCATGAAACATTTTCTAGTGAGTGTCTACCAAGTTTGTTCAAATAAAAGCCCTTGGGTCAAAATTGGCCCCGCCCCGGGGGGGTCATTGATTTTCCCTATATGCATATAGTAAAAACTTAAAAAATCTTCTTTTAAAGAACCCAAAGAGCTAGAGCTAAGATATTTAGCATGAAACATGTTCTAATGGGTGTCTACCAAGTTTCTTCAAATAAAAGCCCTGGGGTCAATCCCCCCATTGATTTTCCCTATATGCATATAGTAAAAACTTAAAAAATCTTCTTTTAAAGAACTCAAAGAGCTATGGCTAAGATATTGAGCATCAAACATGTTCTAATAGGTGTCTACCAAGTTTGTTAAAAAAAAAGCCCTGGGGTCAAAATTGGCCCCGCCCCAGGGGGTCATTGATTTTCCCTATAAGCATATTGTTATGCGCTAAATTATAGGTTCTACTGAAGGTGGATTGTATCACAACACAATGTTCCGTTTTATATTTTAATGTTTCTTTCTTAGTGGAATACCACAGATAATATATAACATATACACAGGTTATCCTGATGTTAACAAATTGATATTAAAAACAGTAACGATTATTTCTAGTGGGAAGCCACAATACAATGTTATCACTTGGAAATCCAAAATGTAACTGACTCTAAATTTTCTACATGTATCTTTACAATAATTCTAAAATTGATTTCGTTTTAACTGACCAATAGAATTTTTAACATTTTTGTGTCTTAAATAACAAAATGACCAATCAGGTTTCAATACAAATAATGTAACATAGCAACACAGAATTTATAACAACAATCATCACCTGGATATTTTATCAGTCATAAGGTTTAACAACATGATAAGTACAGACAGCTTAATTGACCTTATCACCTATATATTATAAAACTTTTAACACAGTTGATTGGACAAAGAGAAAAGCCGCATTTTAATCTTCCAGTTACATAATTTTAAATTTGACATCTGTTATTGAAACATATACAATTTGTAACTTAACATATTTGAAATTTCACAAATTTTGTTTTAAAAATATGACCTTTTAGAAAATGATTATATATACAAATATTTGTGTTTAAAAGAAAATCATCATGCATATTTATTCTTTTTTTTTTTTTTTTTTTTAAATGAATTTTATCATTTTTCGGCTGCACAACACTAGCCGAAAAATGATAAAATTCATTTAAAAAAAAAAAAAAAAAAAGAATAAATATGCATGATGATTTTCTTTTAAACACAAATATTTGTATATATAATCATTTTCTAAAAGGTCATATTTTTAAAACAAAATTTGTGAAATTTCAAATATGTTAAGTTACAAATTGTATATGTTTCAATAACAGATGTCAAATTTAAAATTATGTAACTGGAAGATTAAAATGCGGCTTTTCTCTTTGTCCAATCAACTGTGCTAAAAGTTTTATAATATATAGGTGATAAGGTCAATTAAGCTGTCTGTACTTATCATGTTGTTAAACCTTATGACTGATAAAATATCCAGGTGATGATTGTTGTTATATAATTCTGTGTTGCTATGTTACATTATTTGTATTGAAACCTGATTGGTCATTTTGTTATTTAAGACACAAAAATGTTAAAAATTCTATTGGTCAGTTAAAACGAAATCAATTTTAGAATTATTGTAAAGATACATGTAGAAAATTTAGAGTCAGTTACATTTTGGATTTCCAAGTGATAACATTGTATTGTGGCTTCCCACTAGAAATAATCGTTACTGTTTTTAATATCAATTTGTTAACATCAGGATAACCTGTGTATATGTTATATATTATCTGTGGTATTCCACTAAGAAAGAAACATTAAAATATAAAACGGAACATTGTGTTGTGATACAATCCACCTTCAGTAGAACCTATAATTTAGCGCATAACACGTGGCGGGAATCAGTGTCTTTCCCAACCTCTCAATTTAGCAAGCGATACTACGAATTCAAATTCCCCAAGAAGAACAACAATGAGTTTCACATATGGAATACCATTCAGAGGTGAAAAATCATGTGGACAATGTGGACTTTATCATAATATCAGACAGGAGAAGTGTTGTGCAAAAATGGCAAGATGCAACAAATGTAATAGAATTGGACATTTTGCACGAGTTTGTCTACGTCCAGCAGTTAGTGAAAAGTCAAACCAATCAAAACAACGCGATCAACAACGTATGACAACTTTTATAAGACGCAAGACAGCCGAAAATACATTACCATTTTACAATGAAGATGATGCCTACTTTAAGAAGAACCAAACAAACAACTCCGTAAGTAATGTTTCAACAGCAGAATTTCAGAAGTTGAAATCTTTGACTGATTCAAAGACTAAAACTATTACCGGTTTAAAAGCAGAAAATATGGCCCTTGTTTTTAAAAATCAAAGACTTAAGGATTTTAATGAAAAACTACAGGATGAGGTTTCCCAAAAGAAATTAGAAATAAGTCAACTTAAAGAAACATTTTTACAAAAAAACAACTCGCTAAAGGAAACAATTAGGACTGACTCTTCAAAACTAGAGATAATGGACAAACTTATATTAGAATTTAAGAAACTTAATGACGATTACGAACAGCTGAGACTGAAACACAACCAGAAAGCTTATGAAATAGAAATGATAGAATCAAGGAAAAACGACCAAATAGATGACCTTAAAAATGCAAACCACAACTTAAGAGACGAGATTGCTCATTTGAAAGACAAAACTAAATATCTATGTCGAAAAAGAGGAAACAGAAATCAAGATCTTTCAAGTACATGCGAGACCGGTTTCCCACATGAATGGAGAGGTCAATATCATCATGGAAGACAACAAGGACAGAGGGGGCAATACAACAGAAATAGACATCATTAAAACTGTGTTGTTTACAATAAGACAGTGATTAGGATATGTATTATTAGTGAATGGTACTTACGCTTTTCAGCAAAATCGGTGCTTTATATTCAAGTATATATTTCTGTAACTGAATATCTTATGTAAACAGTATTCTGATTTAATGATATTTATTTTTGTTAAATAGTATTTATGCTTCATTTCACAGGAGTGAAATAGTCTTAAAGGAGGGAGAAGTGTTGTGCAGCCGAAAAATGATAAAATTCATTTAAAAAAAAAAAAAAAAAAAAAATAAATATGCATGATGATTTTCTTTTAAACACAAATATTTGTATATATAATCATTTTCTAAAAGGTCATATTTTTAAAAAAAAATTTGTGTTTAAAAGAAAATCATCATGCATATTTATTCTTTTTTTTTTTTTTTTTTTAAATGAATTTTATCATTTTTCGGCTGCACAACAATATAGTAAAAACTTAAAAATCTTCTTTTAAAGAACCAAAAGAGTTAGAGCTAAGATATTTGGGTTCAAACATGTTTTAATAAGTGTCTACCAAGTTTGTTCAAATAAAAGCCCTGGGGTCAAAATTGGCCCCGCCCTGGGGGGTCATTGATTTTCCCAATATGCATATAGTAAAAACTTAAAAAATCTTCTTTTAAAGAACTCAAAGAGCTATGGCTAAGATATTTAGCATGAAACATGTTCTAATGGGTGTCTACCAAGTTTGTTCAAATAAAAGCCCTGGGGTCAAAATTGGCACCGCCCCGGGGGTCATTGATTTTCCTTATATGTGTATAGCAAAAACTTAAAAAATCTTCTTTGAAAAAACCCAAATAGCTAGAGTTAAGATATTAAGCATGAAACATCTTTTAGTGAGTGTCTACAAAGTTTGTTCAAATAAAAGACTTGGGGTCAAAATTGGCCCCGCCCCGGGGGTCATTGATTTTCTTTATATGTGTATAGCAAAAACTTAAAATCTTCTTTGAAAAAACCCAAATAGCTAGAGTTTAGATATTAAGCATGAAACATCTTCTAGTAAGTGTCTACAAAGTTTGTTCAAATAGAAGCCCTGGGGTCAAAACTGGCCCGGCCCTAGGGGTGTCATTGTTTTTAACTATATGTGTATAGTAAAAACTTTAAAAAAATCTTCTTTTAAAAAGCCCAATGAGCTAGAGCTTAGATGTTTAGCATGAAACATCTTCTTATGGGTGTCTACCAAGTTTGTGCAAATAAAAGCCCTTGGGTTAAATTGGCCCTGCAACGTTGGGGGGTGGGGGCCTATATACAGGTGAGCGACCTCAGGGCCATCATGGCCCTCTTATTTAACACGGAGTAGATCGAGTAGTTTTAACACGGTTTAATACATGGTCTTATATGTTTTTGTTAAAGCACAAAATAATAAAAAGTAACAGCTGATGACACTGATGTATATGGTCAGTCCATTCAATGTCTTCGTTTATGGTTAACAGTTTAACTACTGCTAGCTATGGGAAGCACAGTACATATAGTATAGTATATATAAGTAAGAAGTTATATATATATATATTCTGGGTTTTTATCACTTAATAAGTTTTGCAAATTGTCTACAATATTAATAAATTTCTTAACAATAGAATTTTACAGACCAAAATGGTTTACTTTTACATGTACTAGTATATTTAACATGGATACATTTCTATTTACTTGTATGGTTTTCGTTATTCTTAAAACTTAGACATTTAAAAAGTCTTTGTCAACTATACGTATATGAACAGCAATAACAACAACACCATTTATTATGTTAATATATATATATAATTGTTAAACACATTTCCATGGTATATTGATAAAATAAATAAACATTTTATAAGACAAGTATTTACGGTTTTCTCTCATAAATACACATAATAGATACATTCTGTACATCTACGGAAAGGATGTAAAATGCGGACCTTACTGTGACGTCACTTAGTTCTACATAATTAGTACTGGTCCACATGACAATTAAGTCTACATAAAATGGAGAAAAAAAGTTTGAGTCAATTAAAAATAGTAACACAATTATAAACAGCATGGCATATACCAATAATATAATAACAGTGATTCTTTATATGCACATTTACTATTACAATGTAAAAAGAAGGAGAACCTCTTGGAAATCGCAAATTTTCGATTGAGTCGAGTTTTTCTTTTGCGAATGGCAATACAACGTGCAACATCTCTGTCCCCTCTAAGCCGAATTCAGTCTGAAATAAATCCATATTCACAGAAAATGGAATGATCAACCAGTAACTGCACTATATTTGACGGAAAGATAAGCTAACATTCTTTATTCCTTTATCTACTTCAGCAGTTATAGTTGTGTATTAATGTAAGTATTTAGACTATCCCAAACAGCAAATATACTAGGATAAATTATCACCCAGATTGATTTTAACTTCAAATAATATGCTATAAATTAGGGATTCGTCTTTAATTTCCAAGAAATCAGCGTTGACAATATAAACAAAATCATGACTATATATATATATATGCATGTATCATCCGTATATATGGAGCTATAAATGGTAATGTGCAAATTTATTTCATGATAAAAAAAGTCGTACAGCTGTTAAAACATGTTTGTGAAGTCGTCTTTGGTTTACTGACAAATGAAGAAACTGTCCAACATGTGCTAAATAAGTATCCAAAATTTAAATAGTGGATACTTATCTATCCATTTTTAGCTCCACTTCTTTTTTGAAAAAAGAGGTATTGTTACAGTTATGGCGGCGTTGCCGTCCGCAAACTTTTACCCTGATCATAACATTTTCAGTTCTTGGTGTATTGTCTTCAAACAACTTTTAGCATAGAAACAAGTTTCACTCTGACTGAGACAGAGTAGTATCGTATATCTTATGAAACATTATGACCTATATGTAATAAAATTTATCAGCTAGCATTGGTATTTCTAATCAAAGCAAATCTAGTATCTGGAAAATATACAGGATTTAAAGGATTTTAATTTCTGGATCGCCAATCAGTAATAATAAATCGATTAAAATATACAATGTACATGTACTTCTTGAAAATGTTTTGAAGTTATAGAAGAAATTTAAACATGTCTCCACTTTATCATCTTAAAATGGTTGACTTTAATTACCAGAAATATGCCTCTGAAATGTGTCAGACCGGCACATATTGTCAGTTTTTGTCATGAAATTTGTTCATATGATTTTCTGGCATTGTTTTAATTTCCACGTTAAATTGCTAGTTATCAAGTTTAAATTTCACTTCATACTGTTTTCCACTCTCATCTTTAGCTTCAGCTCTTAGTTCTGTAGCACCAAAGTAAACTTTTAATTTAACACAACTGTCCAGGGATCTCGACTCTCCAATGTCTACACTCATTGTGCCAATTAAATGACATCCTATCTCATCGATATATATCGGATTGTTTAATATCTCGGACCTGTAAAACGGGAATTCTATCACAGTTTGATATTTGGACTTTACATAAGCTTCGATTTCTTGTGTTGGTTTATTGTACGGAATTTCATCCCCTTTTACAATCAACGTTTTAAAAATATCCCGACAGACAGGACCATCATCTGTTTCCTCTCGTTTTTCAGGATCATGTCGTGCTGGATCAAATTCTTCGTTCCAGTCTAGGCCATATGTATAACGACTGATTCGTTTATTAACTACAGACTGATCCCTACCGAAAATAACTGCTCCCTTCATGATTGTTGTTGAAGCTTCCGGTGGTATAATAACTGTCTTATCCGGAAATTTGGCGCGAATACTTTCTTTCAGTAGCTGGCAGTCAGAAAACCCACCGACACAAATGATCGTGTCAATATTATCTGGAATTTTACATAGTACGTCCTGTACTGTTTCTAATATGCCATCAATTGTTTCTGTGAAGAAACTTCTGAAAAGAGTACTTTTTATCCTCATTTTGTCTGCCTTGAATTCTACATCCTCGGAAATTGTCATTTGACGAACAGATTCAGTGAGTTTTTCTCTGTTATGTTGTTCATGCAAGGATCGAAACGATTCCGAAACAAGCATTGTAACCTTTGCATTGTCACCTCTATCATTGAAGGCACATTTCTTGTTTTCAAAGTGCCGTTGCATCATTAAAAAATCTTCCATATTTTTGTTCCGAAATTTAGAAAACGCTGGTGCACCAGAGATCCTTTGCAAAAACTGCTCATACTTAAAATTGATATTATCACCGCCCCAAGGGCCCCCTTCAGGCGGAATAATTTCCTCGAACTGGAAATTACCATTGACACGGTGTGCAGCAATGTCCAGAGTTCCACCTGTTAATATGCAATGTCAGACAAGGTATAAAGAAATCAATACATAAGTACTGCATATGAAGGTCAAGGTAACTTCAAACAAAATTTAAGACGCGATAATATATTCTATTTATTCTAAAATCGATTTGAAAACAGATAGATGTCAGAATCATTTATAAACAAGTAGCTTGGTCTGAGGAAAAATCGGTACGTTTAAGAAACATTAATTTGCACTATTAGAAATGAAAATGATATACTCATATATTATAACTATTGAGAATCTTTGATATCATTGATGTAAGATACATTACTAAGCGTTCACTTTCTGTACGATTGTATGACAACTGGGTAGCTATATAACTATAATCATTAGATTATTAGAGAGCTAATTGTTATCATTTCAGTTGTAAGTGAAACACAGTGTGATATCATTTCATAAATTTCAAAAGTATTTCATACACATTTCTTGCAACTCTTTACCAAAATGTTTATAAATACACAGTCACAAGAGTTCACTATATGTTAATGCTGACTTTTCCAAAACATTATATTATATTGCCAGACACTAAGACTTTAATTAGCATGAGCATGTATTAGTCAGTTAACTTTCACGAAAACTGATACAGATATTTTAGAGAATGTTGAAAATTCTTACCGCCCAAATCAATTATGAGATGACATGACCCTTGTGTCATTGCCTTTTTTTGTTGCGCCACCATATCAAGGACAGGTAACTCTTTAGTTAAAACATAAACGGCGGCACATTCCGGCTCTAAAGCTATTCGCAGTCTTTCTTTTGGAATATGTGCCTGAAATTTAAAACAATACACCAGTGTAAGCTCATTTTAAATATTTTGTCATTTTTTTTTCAATCTTTAAGGTTAGAAATAAACAAGATGTGATTTATACGCAAAAGATATATTTCTGTCAAAATTCGTACTCTAGTTGTTGTCGAGCCCGCTTGCGGAGGGCTCGGCATAGCTGTTACAATTGCGTTTTGGTGTATGTACACGCGTGCGTGAGTTCGTGTGTCCGTCCGTCTGAATTATGTTAGTAAGGGTCTTATCGCATCAGTAGGTAGAATTTCAAATAACTAAGCACAAATGTTCACACTAACGAGACATGCATGTCGTGCACAAGAGCCGTGTGGCTAGGTCAAAGATCAAGGTCGTACTTAAAGGTCAAATGCAAAAAAAATGGTCACAAACAGCTTGTCCTCGCCATAACTCTGTCACTAGCTGGTTGAAGCACAAATGTTCAACATCATGAGATGGCGTGTCGCTTGTAATATCCGTGTGGCTAAAGTCAAAGGTCAAGGTATTACTACCGTCCAGATTATGCTTGGGCACCCTTTGTATCCAATATTATTTTGGTCTTGATAATAATCAAAACATATTTTGATATGATTTATATACATGTAAAGGTAATATTTTATTATTTTATATATATATTAATGGAAATATAATTGAACAAAACGTAATTATATAAGTCATAATATCGAACGTTTATCGCCGCTTTCCGCATGAACACTTTTGCCCCTTCGCTCCAAATAGCTGGTGTTGTTAGAACATAATGTATATCATCTTCTCTGACATTTGGAATTCTTTCTCTGACTGTCTCAATTATCTTCCGCTTCATATAATCTATTGAAAACGTAAACACAGTCAAAGCATCGAAATCACGACCCTCTGAATCTTTTATTTTGCTGTGTTGTGATAAGCCGCATGATTTCTAAAATAATTACAATATATGTACTGAGAATTTAAAATAATTATATATATAAATTGTGAAAGAAAAATAATTACAATATGTGTACCGAGAAAGTAAAAAATATACAATACATGTATATGTATTAATTGATAAAATAAAATATTACAATAAATGAACTGAGAAAGTAAAATAATTACAATACATCTACTGAGAAAGTAAAATTTCACAATAATGTATTTAGAAGGTAAAATAATTACAATACATGTACTGAGAAAGTAAAATAATCACAACATAATTATGTATTAAGAAGTAAAATTATTACACTATTATGTACTGAGATAGTATAATAATTACAATGTATGTACTGATAAAGAACAAAAGCGTGTGCCCCGAATAGGTTTTGGACACAGAAAACACTGTCGGGTACGTGAAACAGTGCAGATTTTCCGTGATACGATGCTTCCAATATGGAGGAAGGTAAACAACTAAAAGGTACGTGCCATTTTATTTTCTATGTATTTAGACAAATCCGTTTTATATAGTAAAAGATGAATATTTGCACGTAACGAAAAAATAAAATCACTACAAGATCGATAAGTTCACAATATATATGTCACATTTGATATATATGATTGCTTTACAAAACAACTTTTGTAAATAAATGTTCATGAAATTTGAAGCGAGAGAAGTGGTAAATTTTTGACTCAATCTTCGTACAAGAGACACTTATATTGAAGTAAATACTCTTGTTTATTACAGTAAACGTATAAAATCATCTGTGCAATTTCAACAATTGTTCTGTCAATATGTTTTGTCGAAATTTGTCTATTTTCTGTTTCGTCTCGACAACGGTGCAGACGCTAAGCAACGGCGCGGACTTTCCGTAACCGTTACTAGTTATGACCAATCAGTATGTGAAATATGAAGACTTTGTGATAAATAGTTTTTAAGATAGTAAGCGGAAACAATCCTGATATTTAAGGCCCTGTGACCTTGATCTTTCAACTTGTGACCCAAAATCAATAGGGATCATCAACTAGTTATGACCAATCACTGTGTAATATAAAGATTTTGTGATAAATTGCTTTCAAGATAATGAGTAGAAACCATAATAACATTCAAGGACCCGGTGACCTTTACATTTGACCTAGTGACCCAAAAATCAATAGGGTTCACCTACTATTTATGACCAATCAGTATGTGAAATATAAAGACTTTGTGATAAATAACTTTCAAGATTATAAGAGGAAACCATTCTGAAATTTAAGGCCCCTGTGACCTTGTCCTTTGACCTAGTAACCTCAAAATCAATATGAGTCATCTACTAGTTATGACCAATAAATATGCGAAATATGAAGACTTTGTGATAAATACTAACCAAAATAATGAGCTGAAACCACTCTTAACATTTATGGCCCCTGTGACCTTGACCTTTGACCTGGTGACCCCAAAATCAATATGGGTCGTTTACTAGTCATGACCAATTAATATGTGAAATATGAATACTGTGATAAATAGTAACCAAGACAATGAGCGGAAATCATACTACCTTTCAAGGCCACTGTGACCTTGACCTTTGACCTTGTGACCCCAAAATCAATAGGAGTCATCTACTAGTTATGACCAATCAATATGTGAAATATGAAGACTTTGTGATAATTAGTAACCAAGATAATGGGCGGAAATTATTCTGACATTTAAGGCCCCTGTGACCTTTGACCTAGTAACCCCAAAATCAATAAGGGTGATCTACTAGTTATGACCAATCAGTAAGTGAAATATGAAGACATTGTGATAAATTGTTTTAAAGATAATGAGCGGAAACCATTTTGACATTTAAGACCCCTGTGACCTTGACCTTTAACCTGGTGATCCCAAAATCAATAGGGATCATCTACTAGTTAAGACCAATCACTATGTGAAATATGAAGACAATGTGATAAATGGTTTTCAAGATAATAAACAGAAACCATTTTGACATTCAGGCCCCTGTCACATTGACCTTTGACTTTGTGACCCCAAAATCAATAGGGGTCATTTACTAGTTATGGCCAATCAGTATGTGAAATATGAAGACTTCATGATAAATTGCTTTTAAGAAAATCTGCGGAAACCATGTGGTCTACCGGCAGAGAGACAAACGGACCACCAGACAGACAGACCGACCGACCGACATTAGCAAAACAATATACCCTCTCTTCTTCGAAGGGGGCATACACATGAACAAAGGGCAATAACTTCAAAATAAGACAAGGTAGAGTTACGATTCTTGTGCACTGCACATCTACCCAATGAAATCTATCTACCTACAAAGTCTAATGTTGATATTTCATATACTATATATTAAGAGTAATGTCCCAGACAAAGTTCAAAGTGTAAAAATGAACAAAGGGCAATAACTCTAAACTAAGGCAAGCAGAATTATAGTCCTTGTGCACTGCACATTTACTCAATGAGATCTATCTACCTTCAAAGTTTCATGTTGATATCTCTTATACTTTTAAAGTAATATTCCGGACGAAAGTCACAGTGTAAAATGAACAAAGGACAATAACTTAAAAGTTAGGCAAGGTAGAGTTACGATTCTTGTGCACTGCACATCTTTTCAGTAATATCTATCTAAGTTTTATGTTGATACCACTTGTTGTTTCAGAGTTATGTCCCGGACGGACTGACTTAAAATCAATTAAGAGTTACTTTGGCAACTTATCGAACATACCTTATTCTCCTTATTGTATAGTTTCATTTTGAAACGCCGGAAGTACCGCCATTCTTTATGCTCTTCATCTTCAGCTAATTCTGCATATTTTATCTCAGCATCATATCCGAACGAGTGAAATGATGCGTCTGGTTTTAACAATAGACAGGTTGGTGTCTTCGGTGTACTAAAATATATGTCAATGTAAATGTGCTGATTGACGTCACATTTAGCTCTTAATATACCATAAATGTATATAACTGAATGACAATATAAAGAACACTTAATTAAACCGTTTACAGGTATATATAATTTTGAATACAGTCCAACTCTGTTTGTGTTCATAATATTCAAGATTATATTGGTTAGAATGTATATATTTCTTAAGATCTATTAACTATATTTTAACATGAAAAAAAATACCTTGAATGATCGCCAGACTTCCACGAATAGGCAAGAATATTTCCTTTATCAAGCTCATAATCATGAAGAGTTGACAAGGCGAACCCCGAAAACGTTGTTCCAAAGTCGATGGAAGCCACCAACAATTTGTCCTTCCAGTTTGTTCCCATCTTCAATAAAGAAAATCTTTCATCATTATTTTTAATGAACCGACTCAGACGTTTCATTAAGTCAACATTCTTTTAAAATGTAAGATATTAAATGACCCTGCAAGTATTTTAAGAGCAACATACATGTATTAACTCGAATGCACTTAAAATATTGTTGAACGTCTAATAGCGTTTAAAACTTCTTAAAATATCAAGTTTTTTCAATGAAAAATACAACGTTTACACGTTACGTTTTAGGACGAAATCAAAACCGAAAGTTAAATTAATATTTTTACATAATTTAAAGAACAATTATTAAATACCTGTAGTGATAAACTGATCGGAAATACTTATTTACTTCCTGCTCTTTTCCATGCTATAAATAATCATTAATCAATATATCAATGGAATGTTAAATAGGGTTTAACATACCTCCATTTTTGTAAAGTAGGCCTATATATGTAGATAAATACACAGGGGAGGTAAACATGCAGGGTACCTGCCATGCTTATGTTTTCTTGTTATTAATTTAATGGAAGACCAATAAATATTAAATGTAGCTTGCTTTATCTATAAGCAACGTAAATGTTTATAGTTAAAACAGCAAAAGCGGCTGAACTAATAATGAATAAATATGTAATAATTATGGTGTTCTGTAAGGACCGAGAACGAAAAACGCGAAGTTCGAAAGTACGATGTTGACATTACGACAGTACGATATTGACAGTACGATGTTTACGATCTTGAAAGTACGACAGTACGATTATGACAGTAAGAAAGTACATAGTGACAGTGACAGCCAGATGACCTATCGTTATCGTACTGTCGTACTTCGTCATCGTGCCATCGTACTATCGTGTTGTCACCATCGTACTGTTGTACTGATTACTTTATTATATTCTTAATGTGTTACCTTTTCTTAAAAAGATATTATTATTATTATTATATTAATCATTATTATACACGTTTGGTATACATGTTAAAAGCGATTTACATGTATTGCACTTTTATATACTTTTTTCTAAAATATAGATTGTTCGAGACGAAATGAGGTGGGAAACATCCCGTATCGGCCTTTACCCATAGCTTATAGCAAGTAAGCTAAATTATCTTTTTATCGTTTCCTCGACATATATTATGTTATATGAATGACTTTATCCACTTTTAGTAATAAATAAAAAAAAACTAAATTCAGCAAACAAAATTAAGGGAAAGTTTTTTTGAGTCGTAGGGCCAAAAAAAGAGAAAACCACCTCTCGGGATAAGGTTTATTTTCATGCAACTAGATGAAAATAAATCTCGTACTTACAGAAAAAAAAAAACTTGAATTTTCTGTCCATTTACATTTATTTTCTTTTTGTTTTGACCTTACGATTCGAAAAAAGCTTCCCCTTTAATTCTTTTTATTTGCTGAGTTTATTTTTCTATTACAACGACAAAGTGAATAAAAATAATTAAGCTGAAATATGACGCTTGGAGACGTATTATAACTATGTCGATGTGCCTGTACTGACACCAGACATGGATTTATGCTGAGTATCGAGATTGTCATTGCATCAAACTAGTCCCGTGCCAAATTCTTTTTTTTAGTCCCCTACCGGTTTAACCGGAGGGGACTTTAGGTTTACCCTCCGTCCATCTGTCTGTCTGTCAGTTTGTCCGTCCGTCCGTCCACAAAACTGGATCCCGCGATAACGCAAAAAGTACTGAAAATATTTAAATGAAACTTGATATATGGATAGATGGCAGTATGGAGATTATGCACGACTTTTTCTTTTTTTCCTATGTTGAAAATTCTGGTTGCTATGGCAACAAATAGTCTGAAAATATGGCAAATATAACACATAAACTTGATCCAGTGATAACTCAAAAAGTACTGAAAATATTTTTATGAAACTTATAATAAGGGTAGATGGCAGTCTGGAGATTATGCACATCTTTTTTCTTTTCTTCCTATGTTGAAGGTTCTGGTTGCTATGGCAACAAATAGACTGAATTTCAAGATTTCTGATTTAAATTTTTAAGCTTTATCACTACAAGTTCTTTATTTCTTAAGGTGTTTACTTCAAACTTTAAATATAAGTTTCTGGTCATCAACCACATCATATGTGACAAGGTTTACATATCTAACACAAAATTTATCAGAATTACCTCCCTTGAACTTAGAATTTTTATGTAAAAAAAATGTTGTCTCTTTTAAATAACTTCTTTATTTCTTAATGTATCTACTTCAAACTTCATATATATGTTTCTTATTATCACTCAACATTTTTGAAAAGGTTAAATACTCTAGCAAGACTATTTCCAGAATTATGTCCCCCTTGAACTTAGATTTTTTTCGAGAAATTGGTATTTTTTACTCCAACTTCTTCATTCCTTATAGGATTTACTTTAAAATCCCACATCGTAATAATATGACAAGGTTTATAAATCTAGAATCCATATTTCTAACCGGTAGGGGACTTATGGATTGCTGCAATACTATGATAATTGCTTGTTTCAATATAATAAAACATTTGACGACGAATGGCATGTGCTCGTATATAAGATGTAAATATTATACTAAATTCAACCGCAATTTTAGCATTGAAACAATACGTAGCTACAATACAATAGATGTACGACAAAAGATAGTACAATTCACAGATGAAATTATACTCTTTCAAAATAAGCAAATTAATATATCCCCAATTAAAAAAGCATAGCTTGAATTCCTTACAAATATTTTCAAAATTATAGAATCTTCTCAAACAATATATGCTGAGTATATATTTTGCAGGCGGGTTTCTCCCACGCATATTTTGTGAGATGAAATCATCGTATACATCAGTCTAATTACAGTAAGTAAGATATTACTCAGTGTTTTGGGTACAGTCCAGCTTCTAGAAACGTGTACGACCTGATATATTGCGACTAGCAATGTTAACATGAGTTATATGTTGCTTGAAGCTAATTTGTATTTCACTTACTATTATTATATCAAAAAGGCACAGGTAAAGTGTATACATTCTTTATTTTCAAAGCATTTTATACGTTGGCTGTTTAATTCTTTTTTTTTTCTTAATGTGTTACCTGTTTAAAATGACAAAAATCGCGGATAACGTTAATTAAATACAATGAGATGCGTTTAAATTAAGTTTTAGGAGCGGTGGGTTATATTGGATTATTGTCGATTGTGATAATAAAGTTTGTCTGCCAAAGAATTGCAAAAACTGAAACTAAATTGATCATTCGGATACATTCGGATCTATAGGTATTATTTTTCTGTGGGTTTAACTATTCGTATCATTTAGTTTTAAGGGTGTTTTTGGAGTTGTAAGACACAAGTGTTGGCTCAGATTTGTTGATTGTGGGATATTTAAGTAAACAATATGTAAGGATTCATTATTTTTTATAGTAAGATTCAAGTTTAGATATTATGAAGCTACTTTTTCAGGATAGCTGCATATATATTATGTTAGATAAGTTTGTTTTTTTCTTTAGAAAATATGATTCTAATATAATATAAAATTACATGCTATTGTGCTACAACCAATACCATGTTATTATAAGAGGCTACAGCCATCATTTACGCAAAGTTTTTTTTAGTACCATAATTATGTTGTCTAAAAAAGCACTGTATATATAAGGTTGTATGTACGGCAATGTCGACCTCTGTGAAAAAAATGCTGTTTATATACTAGTAATCTTCCTTATTCATCACTATATTCTTTCTAATATGTATCTTTATATCTCGTTATAGTTATTTTTAACGAAGTCATGAAATTCTACTTTTCATGATGGGATTACAGTGGTGAGTTAAGTTTAACAGCCGGTTAAAAGTCAAGTATAACATATATCTTCCTTACAACTATTTTATACAGAAATGTTATAAACTGTTCATAAAAAATCGATATTAACCATTATTTTGAAATATATATTTCAAAACTATGTATAATGATAATACTTATAATAATAATAATAATAATAATAATAATAATAATAATAATAATAATAATAATAATAAAATAAATAATAATAATCAGTTAGTTCATTGAATAATTAGACAATTCATGCAAACAAAAAAATGAAAACAGTACCGGCTGAACAACAACGTTTTATATAAAGGAATGTGTTAATTATTGCCTAAAAGAAAAATTGTAAAGTTATGTTTTAATTAGATCTATTTGTTAATAAGCTTTCACAATAGATTGAAAACTACAGGTATCGTGTAACGATACTGTATAATTTCGTATATATAATATATTATAACGTTCATGTTATTAAAGATCAATTACTAATTACAAGGTGTAAAGTCAAGTGAAACGAAAACTTAAACAAGTAGACAATTTAAAAGATTGCATTTCAAATAGGTGTGTGTAAAAAGTAAATGACCCTTGCTAATGTATGTAAACTGAAGTTAACGAAGAAAGTTATGTAGAACGTTTTCAGGTTATTTTTCCTCAAGCTACGAAATATTTTATATTGTCATCATATTATACGTTGAATATCTGTTATTTAATAAAGTTTATTCGATTTCAAATCTATCTTTACAGTTGTAAGTCACTGGAAGAAATATGGTCGCGATTGGCATCGATCTTGGCACAACTTACTCGTGCGTAGGTGTTTTCCAGCACGGAAAAGTAGAGATTATTGCCAATGACCAGGGCAATCGGACCACACCTAGTTACGTTGCTTTCACTGATACAGAGAGACTTATAGGTAAGTTTGGAGATTTGCCATGACGTAAGCATGTTACCACTATTGAATTTGAATTTAGTAGGTTAGATCAATATTTAAAAGACGCTTCAGATTTGGTAGGAAGGTTGCTCACAATTACCTTTGCCAACAATGTTCATGAATTGTAACAAAGATGTTTCGCAAACATGTCTTGTTCAGTTGTTAATGTGCCAGTCTTCCATGCTGTTCAGCAAATATATGCAATTATTTTCTGTATTATTTGATTTATAACTTCATAGTGAATTCTCCCAATAAAATGTTTTGTTCCAACTTTAAAGATTCAATATGGTATATGACTGGAGACCAAGGAGACTATTTTTATGTGGCATTTTTTCCCATTTTCAATGTATATATATATTAAGATTAACTTCAATCCGTAATATCGTACAAGCTTTAAAAAATAGTTTTGTTATTTCCAGGTGACGCAGCTAAAAACCAGGCAGCGATGAACGCCACCAATACAATTTTCGACGCAAAACGTTTAATTGGGAGGAAGTTTGACGACACTTCTGTTCAAAACGATATGAAGCACTGGCCCTTTAAATTGATAAACAAGGGTGGGAAGCCGATCATTCAAGTGGAATACAAGGGAGAGAATAAGACATTTTCGGCAGAAGAAATCAGTTCCATGGTTTTGATTAAGATGAAAGAGACCGCCGAGGCTTACCTTGGTACAAAAATTAAAGACGCTGTTGTCACGGTTCCAGCGTATTTCAACGACTCGCAGCGACAGGCAACAAAAGACGCGGGCCAAATATCTGGCCTCAATGTTTTAAGAATAATAAACGAACCAACTGCTGCCGCCCTAGCTTACGGACTCGACAAGAGTCTTTCTGGGGAGAAGAATGTCTTAATTTATGATTTAGGTGGTGGTACCTTTGACGTATCTATTCTTACAATAGATGAGGGGTCAATGTTTGAAGTAAGGTCTACCGCTGGCGACACTCATTTAGGAGGTGAAGATTTCGATAGTCGACTTGTTAACCACTTTGTTAAGGAATTCCAAAGGAAACACCATAAAGATCTTAGTAAAAACAATAGAGCGATTCGCAGGCTACAAACGGCATGTGAGCGAGCGAAGCGAACACTTTCAAGCAGTACTGAGGCAAGCATAGAAATTGATTCATTATTCGATGGAGTCGACTTTTACACGAAAGTTACACGTGCAAGATTTGAAGAGCTTTGTTCTGACCTTTTCCGTGGAACTTTAGACCCAGTAGAAAAAGCCCTGACGGACGCCAAAATGGACAAAAGCAAGATTAATGATATTGTACTTGTCGGCGGTTCAACACGTATCCCAAAAATTCAGAAGCTGTTACAAGATTTCATGAATGGTAGAGAATTAAACAAGTCAATTAACCCGGATGAAGCTGTAGCATACGGCGCTGCTATACAGGCTGCTGTTCTTTCCGGCGATTCAAGCGAAGCAATTAAAGATGTTCTACTTGTTGACGTCAGTCCGTTGTCTTTAGGCATAGAAACAGCGGGTGGTGTAATGACCAACTTGATTGACAGAAACAGTCGCATACCAGCTAAATTTTCGAAAACATTTACGACATATGCCGACAATCAACCTGGTGTGTCAATTCAAGTATATGAAGGTGAACGCGCGATGACTAAGGACAATCATTTGTTGGGAAAGTTTGAATTGGCTGGTATACCGCCCGCTCCCCGAGGCGTTCCGCAAATTGAAGTCACGTTTGATATTGACGCCAACGGCATTTTGAATGTGTCAGCTGAGGATAAAAGCACCGGGAGATCAAATAAAATAACGATAACAAATGATAAAGGTAGACTTTCAAAGGATGATATTGATAGAATGGTGAATGACGCCGAGAAATACAAAGCTGAGGACGATTTACAGAGGGAACGTGTTACTGCTCGCAATCAACTTGAGAGCTATATTTTCTCGGTAAAACAAGCGGCTGATGACGCCGGAAACAAACTGTCTGACTCGGACAAACAGACTGTGATAAGTAAATGTGACGAAGCTCTTAAATGGCTTGACGAAAACTCCCTAGGTGAAAAAGAAGAATTCGAGCACCATTTAAAGGAATTGCAACAGGCGTGTTCTCCTATAATGGCCAAACTTCACGGAAGTGGTGCATCGTCTTCCGGTTCCGGGCCAAAAGTTGAAGAAGTGGATTAAACAGATGCTTTATAAAGATAACATTTGTAAATAAAGTAGAAACATTTGGCGCTAAATTATTTTGTGTGATGAAATTGAATTTTGTGATAAGCATGTTGACATTCCTTTTATAAAGGTTTTAAAAAAGAACTGGTTAAAACAAATGATCGGGTGTAATGAAAAGAAAACAGAATTCCTTTAGTTTATTTCATAATAAATATCACTGAATGGATATCGATATTAAGGAACATATTTTTAATTGATGGTGAATAACCTCATGAAGGTACAGATAAAATATGAATGAACATCTCACAATTCTCTTTACATTAAAGTGCCAGGGGGTATAAAGGTAACTTTGATTAACACATGAATCAGTTAACCATACTTTATACTCGTGCACATGAATTGTAACAAGGAAACATGGCATATGGAAATTAAATATTTAACATGTAAAGACGTTGTGCTGCTGCATGCGTGAATATATCAGCAATATTTGTATTAATGCATGTATCGCTTGTTATTTTATATAAATACAAAAAGAATACGTTTTTATATTATTCACATTACATCCAGGCCTAATTAGGTTAGAGGCAATCTTTTGATAAAGCTATTCAGTTCGGAATCTGTCCTTAAATACCGATGAATTATTTGGAAATAGAACCTGGCACAAGACTTCTAGTATACTGAACATACGAGGGGAGTTCAATGAGTCCATAAAACTCGATATATATCTTTACAATTCAAGACTTTTTTCTTTCATTTTTGAGCAGTATAAACCGTTGTCAGTCGAATGAGCTGTCATTTTGCTGTTGGAAACCTTTACCCATAGCTAGGCAAAGAGCAGTTATAAAGTTCCTCACTAGGTAGGGGATAAATGCCAAAGAAAACCATCGCCACATGGCTGATGTGTATGGTGATAATAACGGTGGAAAAGTGGTCAGCAGAATTTACACGTTCAGTACTGGTTGATTCCAGGGACAGATTCGATAGTCTGTCTAATAGCTTATATATAGCTTCCTACACAATCGAACTTAAAAGTAATATATATATATAGATATCTTATGTGTATGATAGATTGACGAAATTTGTTTGTTTCGAGTGAATAAGATATATATCTCACTAAGGAGTGAAAAATATGTGTAGATTTTTTTCACTCCTGTATGAGATAAATATCACATTCAAGAAAACATTCAATGTTATCTTTTTATTTCATGAATGTCTATTAACTAACAGTATTTATCGACTTGTAGGAAGTACAGGCAATGAATCTTTTTATACAGTTTTAATTAAGTAATGATACTTAAATAGAGAAATATGCTGTAAAGAACAAAACGCAAAAAAATAATGTTCATGCAAATTTAAGAAATCATAAAAAGTAATACGCACGCCAATAAATGTTACGACAAAGCTACGATCGAGAGGGTAATGCAGTTGTGGATATGGAATTTATTGCACTGAAATATCAGTGTTATTGTAAGTTTAACATAATTGTTCATAATTTACTACATTTCCACCTTGAGAATCAGTTTTTCACGAGATTGGAATTTTGTTTCAGTGCCTTTATACTTACCTGAAGAATGAAAACAATTTTGCTGATGCAATGTGCAGGATTCCTGTCTGGAATCTCGATTTTACGTTAGATTTCTCGTTAGATTCTATTTTCATGCATTAGGACAGACTTAAGTTTACCTGCAAATATTCTTTGTTTTGCTGTCTTTCTAAAGAAGATTTATATCCCTTTTTAATTGTTTTAAATGTATCTCATTTGAAATGTTTAAGTTATTAAGTTATGTAAACATATTTACAAATGATAAATATAGCAAATGAATGAACCTATCAGAATTATCTCTGTTTTATTGAATAGTTATCGCATGATTAGATAAAACATTTAATTATTATACAATTCTGAAATCTTGAAAATAAACAGACGTATTTTGGTCTGGGGGTTGTACGTGGTTGTGGTGTCGATACTCTCCTCCGGATAACGACAGCAAGCCACGTTGAATTTAACGAAACACATTTCAACCACCGCATCGTCCCTGGGTATATTGTCAAGCAGTTTACCAGTACTAGTTGCTTTAACTTTCGCAAGGAACTGATAACTTCTGTACATTCCAGAGCAGAGGTACAGTACGAATGACCGTAGAAAGGATTCATGATCAATCACAACCAAAGTAACATGCACCGTAAGGGAATCGAACCCGGGTCGCCCGAATCACAATTCAGCGCTCTGTCTATAGAACTTACCGGAAAGTTTCTGGGGGTTGTTTTCAGCTCGGGTTGAATTTATTAGCACAGGATGACATGAGATGCGAAAACTCAGAGTGTGGTCCGGTCAAGCAATGGCGAAGACGCCTGTAGTAAACCTCTGTTTTTATGGACAGCATTTACATACCAGATTATAATAAAACATTCTGTTTTAATGTTGCACAAGTAGTTATGATACAAAATATAACTAGGTACATATTCAGGTTGCTTTTAAAATTATTTCGTCAACCGTAAGTAAACAATTCAATTGTGACGTCATTGACATAACGGAAGCTCCATGACGACGTCTTTTCTTTGGACGTTGCTAATAACTCGCAAGACTTTGTTTTAGAATTATTTGCGACTAAACAATAATTTGCCGAAGAGTAATTGGTTGAAACATGACTAAAAGGTCAACTAAGTTGAAAAGGGAGAATAGAAATACGGGAAAACGAAATGTTAAATGTAACGGAAGTAATATGAGCGTTTCACGAAGCAGAAGTAATATAGCATTAGCAAATCAACGCGTGTCATCGCGTCTGAAAACAAACATCGAGAGCGAAGAAGGATTCCCAGACGGCTGTGCCATTACCAAAGCTGACTTCCGGACTATAATGGGAAGCAGACATAGCACACCGCTCCCGAACATTGGATCAGAGTTATACATAGCTAAAAGAATGTGTACACCGTCAGAAAAGGCAGAGAAAAACGATCATTTTCTACCCGATATAAACGGCCATCTACACAACCGCTGTCCAAGAAGGTATAAATATACTTTAACTGTATGTAAGTTTATTTTGAAAACAAGTAGAAGCTACGGCATTTTTTACAAATTTATTTAAACTGAAATTAGATTCAATATTTTGAACATTTATAGCTTTTTTTACATATTTATTTCTTAAAATAACAACATAGTGATGCTATTTCCAGGGTCAACTAAATTAGATTATATCCAAATTCTAACTGCTCATGGAAGGTTTCATTCAAACATTTAAAATATTATACGAAGTTAGACTTTATCTATTTATCATGTATACACTGTAATCCCTCAATGTCTGAAATTATGCACGGAAGGACATCTGAAGTCTGCCTACGCCAGTAAAGATTGAAAGTCGCCATATGACCTATACTGTGTCGGTGCGACGTTAAACCGAACCTTAAACTGGTCTGTGTGACTAAGTTGCCTGGTAGATTATTCCATAGCGTGGGTGTTTATGGTAATCAGATGTTCAAGCTGTGAGATATCATATTTTAACTTGGCCTGGTTGATTTTGAATGGAAGAAGGTAATATTATTACAACTAGATTGATATGCGTGAAATAATAAGTATCATACCTGTAACTGATGGTTATCGTAACATACCTGTAACTAATGATTGTCATACCTATAACTGATGGTTATCATACCTGTAACTGATGGTTATCATAACTGTAACTGATGGTTATCATGCATGTTACTGATGGTTATCATACCTGTAACTGATGGTTATCATACTTGTAACTGATGGTTATCATACCAGTAACTGGTTGTTATCATACATGTAACTGATGGTTAGCGTACCTGTTAATGTTGGTTATCATACCTGTAACTGATGGTTATCGTACCTGTAACTGATGGTTATCGTACTTGTAACTGGTGGTTAACATACCTGTAACTAATGATTGTCATACCTATAACTGGTGGTTATCATGCATGTTACTGATGGTTATCATACCTGTAACTGATGGTTATCATACTTGTAACTGATGGTTATCATACCAGTAACTGGTTGTTATCATACATGTAACTGATGGTTAGCGTACCTGTTAATGTTGGTCATCATACCTGTAACTGATGGTTATCATACCTGTAACTGGTGGTTATCATACCTGTAACTGATGGTTATCATACCTGTAACTGATGGTTATCGTACCTGTAACTGATGGTTATCATACCTGTAGCTGGTGGTTAACATACCTGTAACTGATTGTTATCATACCTGTAACTCATGGTTATCGTACCTGAAACTGGTGGTCATCATACCTGTAACTGATGGTTATCATACCTGTAACTGGTGGTTATCATACCTGTAACTGATGGTCATCATACCTTTAACTGATGGTTATCATACCTGTAACTGATGGTTATCATACCAGTAACTGGTGGTTATTATACCTGTAACTGGTGGTCATCATACCTGTAATGATGGTTATCATACCTGTAAATGATGGTTATTATACCTGTTACATATGGTCATCATACCTGTAATGATGGTTATTATACCTGTAAATGATGGTTATCATACCTGTAACTGATGGTTATCATACCTGTAAATGATGGTTATCATACCCGTAACTTATTATTATCATACCGGTAACTGGTGGTCATCATACCTGTTACTGATGGTTATCATACCTGTAACTGGTGGTCATCATACCCGTAACTGGTGGTTATTATACCTGTAACTGGTAGTCATCATACCTGTAATGATGGTTATCATACCTGTAACTGGTGGTCATCATACCTGTAATGATGGTTATCATACCTGTAACTGATGGTTATCATACCTGTAAATGATGGTTATCATACCCGTAACTTATTATTATCATACCAGTTACTGGTGGTCATCATACCTGTTACTGATGGTTATCATACCTGTAAATGATGGTTATCATACCTGTAAATGATGGTTATCATACCCGTAACTTATTATTATCATACCAGTAACTGGTGGTCATCATACCTGTAACTGATGGTTATCATAAATGTAACTGGTGGTTATCATAAATGTAACTGGTGGTTATTATACCTGTAACTGATGGTTATTATACCTGTACCTGATGGTCATCATACCTGTAACTGATGGTTATCATACCTGTAACTGGTGGTTATCATACCTGTAACTGGTGGTCATCATACCTGTAACTGGTGGTCATTATACCTGTTACTGATGGTCATCATACCTGTAACTGGTGGTTATCATACCTTTAACTGATGGTTATCATAAATGTAACTGGTGGTTATTATACCTGTAACTGATGGTTATTATACCTGTACCTGATGGTCATCATACCTGTAACTGATGGTTATCATACCTGTAACTGGTGGTTATCGTACCTGTAACTGATGGTTATCATACCTGTAACTGATGGTTATCATACCTGTAACTGATGGTTATCATACCTGTAACTGGTGGTTATCATACCTGTAACTGATGGTTATCATACCTGTAACTGATGGTTATCATACCTGTAACTGATGGTTATCATACCTGTAACTGGTGGTTATCATACCTGTAACTGATGGTTATCATACC